AGCAGCTTGGGTCATATCTCCAACAGAGCTGGCACGGCACTGCTGAAACACTGGCATTTCAGCAGTCCCTGCCAGGTGAACTTCTGCCAGCCTATATAAACACATGTTTACACAAGTGAGGATCACACCAGTCTTACAAAAGCTATGAATAACTCCAGAAGTAACCCGCAGTTATAGAGAAAATAAAAGGTTCTTATTTTCAGGTTCTTTACCGGTTGCACAGAGTATTTGATCAAAAAGTTTTTCTTGCCAACCGACTGGTGACTTTTCTATGGTGCCACTTCAGGACATTTGTTTGGTGATAACACACCTTTGTTATTAGCAACTTATCCAAAGCCACAGGTAGGAAGAGATAAACTGTGCAAATATAGGGGTATCACACGCTGCCAGTACTGCTAAGGTTATAAAAGGTACATTTCTCCTGAAACAGTCATAAAAAATTGAGGGGTTAACTGGGAACTAAGATACTGCTCAAATAAATAAAATTCACCCCAGCACAGAAGACTTAACGTGCAGGCCACCTTTGAGCCTTAAAAGGGATTTTGTTGATACACAGGCCAGGAACTGGCTGCCTTGACAGGGAAAGGGAAAGGTGCTTCACATGCACGGGGAAGCAGCAGCTTCCAACTGTCTCGTGGATCCAGTCCAAAGACAGTATGAACAGCTTGTTGATTATGGCTGGCTTCATGCCAGGCCTTTCATATATGTGCTTTGGGAAGCTGAACACAGACGTGCCTATAGAGAGAACAAATCCTTCCTGGGTCGGTCACGGCATCTTCCCTCTGCAAATCTCATCTATCAACTCTGAGCAACGCAGGCTGCCAGGGTGATGCTTTGAATGAAGCCACATCCATTCTCCCCAGACAGATATTTTCCCTGATATTCTGGAGGCGGTGATCTTTGCAGACTACAAGTCACTGATGGTATTGCTCTGTATTAAACATCCCACAGCAGGCAGACGAATCAATAGAGATAAGCCACTCCAGAAAACAGCTCGTGTACTTTTTTCACTTGCTGCAAAAGGACTTCCGTCATCTCATAGACATTTCTAGATGGCGAAAAGCTTTTTACATTTTCCCTAGCGCATCACGTGCCACATGCTGGCCAGAGTTTTACAGTTTTGTTGCTAGCAAGTTCAAGAAACAGATATTTTATTGACCATTTTGTCCTGACACACAGTACTAACTCACCAATGCAGTTATCATTCAATTCAAGGCTTGTTATAACATCCCTTCAAAGTAAGAAAGCACATGCTTTTGCTGGCCTATGCCCAGATACATGCAAATTTATGCAAACACATGCAAATACACATCTGCTTTTTTTTTGTCAGCGGATGTTGGCAGGTTGTAGATATGATGTAGTGAGAAGCACTAGCAAAACAGCAAAGAGGAGGGCTGAGAAAGTTGAGAAGATCTCTGCATTTCTTAAGAGCTTTTGTTCAAGTGTACTAAACAGTTGTTTAAACAGTCCAGGCCTGTGAGACTGACAAGTGCTTTAGCAAACCCCATCCTATTGAGTTAGTCAGTAGGCGATCAAGGAAGTTACTGCAGTGATTTAAGACATCTGCCCTTCATCTTATTGTTCAGTCCTGTTAGAAAAAATAACTTGTACGACATTGAGAAACCAGTGAACTATAATTCAGAATGTGTACCGAAGATGAGACACCCTCTGTGAAAGGGTTGTCAAAACACGGCTTCCCCTCCCTTCAGGCATCTACCTTCAGTGCTATTGACCTGGCAGAGACACTGTTGCCAGCTGATTGCACAGCAATTCACAAATCATTTCACAGAAAGAATAAGACGACTCTATTAAAATGCCCCCTTAAACAGGAATGGGAATAGGAGAGCACTTACCACATTGCACTCTGACCCTACTGTGTACAGGCCCACGGGACTCAAAGGTTTTCCACCCTGTCCATGTCTCAAAGCTGTTGAAGACCCAAAGGAAACCTCCGTCTCCTACGCAGGCATTAGCTCAGGTGAGGGTTCAGCTCCCCACTCTGAGGTGCTTCCCGAGCTATTTGCCATTAAAGCTGGAGACTTGGATTGGGTCAGATGTCTCAAAGAGGAATCCCTTCACTGGGAAGCACTCAGGAGCCACACGAACCTGCACTGTTGAGAATCTGCCCCATGTCCTTGCTCTTACAAGTGTCTGTTTCATTTTCGTGGGGTAGGGTGAGAGACTGTGGCAATGGACAGCTGCTTCAGCTTTCTTCCACAAAGTGCTAAGAAACGGGGTAATAGCAGCTTGCAGGAACCCTCTCGCTTGGAGCTCCTGAGTTTGGATGTCCATTCATTCAGGTGAAATACAGCCATGGATGACTCCTCAGGCTGACTTGACCTCTTCCATCCAGTCTTTTCCCTCCCCTCAGGTTCCTGCATTCCCAGACTAGCAGGAACAATGGAGGCAATTGCACATCACAAAGGCTTTGGCATTTCAGCAAGTACCTCTGTACAGGACCTAACAAGAGGCACAGTTCAAGCCTGTCTTAGAACAGTATTTCTCAACCTTTTACAGCCAAACTACCATCTTGTGTTCTGTCACCACCAAGGGTTTCAGTTGCCACCAAATCAAAGGTTGGCTGTACTTTGAGCATTTGCTTTGCTTGCTTCCTTGCTTGCAAGCAATGCTTGAGGTTTATTAGCATTCATTGTTAACAAAATGCAGTTTTCAGCCATTTGAAAGGTCATCTTCTGATACCTTACACGCTATTTTTGGTCCATAGGTTGAGAAACACTGTCATCCCACCCTGGTTTAAAGACCCTAAGAGCTGGGACACGTTGGTTAACCATGCTCACAGTTTTTCTAAGAGGCCTTGTGCAATCCACAAGCTGAAGTTAAAGCCATTCCAGAAATTGCAGGTAACCTAGGATCTGGCATTTTGACGACAGGAAATGAATGTAGATGCAACTTTTCCTTTCTTCAGCAAATGCCTAACCTGCCAAAAAACACAGAAGTTCATAATGTACCGTCTGAACCTGTGCATGCAGACACCACATATATACATACACGCACCCCCCTATACACATGTATAGGTGTACCTAGATACATAAGCATATCGGAGACTACAACGAGCTCCAGGAGCCTTTTCATAGCTGTAGGCATGAAACCTAGTCATCCCTTGAGATTTGCTGCCATTATAAAAGAACTACCCATTGATACCTCCCCAGAAGTATTTGGAGTACCAGCTAATGCCTGCTTTGTGCTCCTTGATTACAAATTGACTGAAGCAGGGAACCCCCAAGTCCATACCGCTGCAACGTCAGACCTGTGTCATAGGACTCGTTGTCACTGTTCCCCTGGTAAGGACAGACAGCTGTGGTGTGCAGAGATGTGTTAGGAAGCAGCGGCAATGCGGATCATGTACCTGATCCCCAGCTTTTCCAGAAGGAGCCATGTGGATTGGCTGATCGTTGTCTAAGTTTCGGATGCTTGGGTCTGCCCCATGGTCAAGGAGCAACTGGATGATTTCTTTCTGGTTCTTGTCATGAGGCAATGCAGCTGCCATATGTAAAGCTGTGTTGCCATGTGCCTAATGCAGTGGAACAAAGAAGAAAAAGAAGAAGAAAAGACAAAAAAAAGAGATAAACCTCCTGATAAGCTGTGCCACCTATGCAGAATTTTCCTAGAAATGGACTTGGGAAACAAGAGCTGAAAAAGCCTCGCACGATTGCTTACTGGGAGGTGAGGGAGTATCCCCGCTCCATTTCTCCCATGTATGGCTGCTCATGCAGGAGATTTATGGATTTAGAGTTTTCTTTCTGACAGAGCACTACAAATTGGGGGGCTTTGATGGTTTGGGTACAGCTAAGAAATAGTCCTGTATCAGCAACATTCCTAATCACTCTGCAAACCTCTGCTAAATCGTACCCTCATGTAAGCAGAGACCTGATGAGTTATTTGAAAAAGAGAAGGATAGAGGCCCTGTGACATCCATATTTATCCAGTAGAAACAACAGGAACTATTTCACTGGGAAACATTTAAGTCGGTCCAAGGGACACAAAACCCATTATGCTGCGTCACCCATTAGACATGGGCTATGCAAGGATCAACAACAGCAGAACCGTTTGTGCTCTTTGACTGTGCGAGCCCTTCCAGGCCACCAAACTCATGGCACTAAAAAGAGGTGCTTTGAAAGGTACCAAGCTGTCCCAGTGGTCCAGCCAAGCCAGAGGTCCAGCAGCCCATGTCCCTCAGTGACTTTGTGTACCATGAACCAAACAGGGCTGCAGGTGGCTTGGCTCTGCAGCAGACAAAATAAATCATGCTGGGCTCAAACCTTCTCCTGGTTGCTTCCCAGAGTGCTGAAGGTACCGCTTGGCTTTATTTTCATGGTGTTGTCATTAAGCAGAGTCCTGAAGTCAAGGGCCTACTTAAGCATATACTGTCTCCAGCCTTTTTCAGTAACAGGATTGGCACAGAAACAATAGACAAAAATTGTTGTGAAGCCACAGGGGGGCGCAGGACGGAACATACTGCAATTTGTTGCCCAAAAACTCTGCTATCACCAGACCGTGTAGAAATCTGTGCCTCTGCCTAGTCAGGTATGACTGGTAACGGTTTTAAATGAGAAAAACCTAATAAGCAAATGTATAAGGCAAGGTATTTTTAGTCTACAAGAAGTATCATTTAGGCAGCTGTATATTTTTTCTCTCTGAAACAATCATACATTTCACATGAACTTGGAATGATTGGACACAAATTGTAACGTGTATTATTATCCCAATTGTTAAAAGGAATACATATGATTTCCAGGTCCTATTTACCAGTGAGACATAAGGGACATTGAAGCACAAAGCAAAATAGCAAAATCTTAACAACTATTCTCAGGCAAGCCATTTTTTACAAGCCCTGAACAAGCAGATCCTTGTCAATTGTATCATTCCATAGAGTCAAGGGATAGTTACAAACTCTTTACAGGACTTCTCATTAAAATGGAAACGTTTGCATTTGTTTGCTGCATCTTTGTGGCAGGAGCACCAGATAGCTTCCAAATCCAGGCATAGGGCTAAGAAAAACAAAGCAATCTGACAATGCATGATCTTGAAGCCTCTCCATTGACTTTAATAGGGCTTATGCAAGACAATGGTCCAGAGCACCAATGTGTAGGCTCTAGGAATCCTTCAGGTGAAAAACACCTCAAAGGCCTCAATGCTTTTCTCATTGTGAAATCCACAAAGAAGTGGAGTTGGAATGAGACAACCCCAGCAAGCAGTGGGTGAGCCACGGAAGCCAGAACATAGACTCCAGCATCCCTGTTTTCTTGTCATCTTCATACTTGGAAGACCTAAAGAGCCAGGACGGGTATCAGACAACCTTGCTATCATACTTCACGCTGTCCCAGACAGCTCACCAACAAGACTGAAGACTCCAAGTGATCCTATCACAGTAGGAAGCTCTCACAGGATTGCGATCAACAGACAACAGCAGACTCCCACAGACAAGCTAGCACCTGCCTAATAGGTCTTAAAAGATACAGAAAGAATGCAGTGAAAAGGCAGCAGAAGGCCCTTCACTGTACAGAAAGACAGAAACTCACTGTTATTACCCACATACACAAAGCAAAACATGTTTTCTCCTGTCCAACAGAAATCCGTAGAGGGTAAAAATGTGAAGCTGCCCAGTATCTGCTTCCCAAGTTGAGCAACTGAGTTGACAGAAAACATTCAATTCCTTCCTGATGGACACAAGCATGAGGATGCTCTAGTGAGTACACGCAAGGCTGAGAGACTGAAAATCTTGAAATGAAAAGCCAGTGCATTGACCCTCTCAAAACAGGGAGCCCTGTTCTTTTCCTCCCCTCCCTTTCCGGCTCAAGAGTACCCTTCTGCAGAAGCACCCAGAGTCACCCACTTAGTCCTGCTGAGACAGGGAAGCTAGCCAAGAGCCAAAGCTCTGCCTGATGGTGCAGAGCGATGTCTCAGCTAAGGCACAGGAATGTCAGGATTTTTGCTCAGGAGGATGGGGGAAGCTGATGCACCTGCAAGATAGTGTCACTGCTTGGTATCTGCTCAGAGGTGAAGTATGGGGCAGCAAGGGGATGGGTGACACAACAGCAGCACTGAGCTTGCTTTATACAACCTAGGAAATTCTGCACTGAGGAACCGATGTTAGCAAGACTTCAGCTCAGTAAGCAGGGCTCCACAGAGTGCCTAAAGCAGGGCCTCAAGCCCTCAGAGTCACAGGTGGTTTACTTGCCACAGTGCCTAGGCTCCTACATGCTCAGCAAGGATGCTGACTCGCTTCAAAGAGCTGGTTTCCTCATGCTCCACCTGCCTGGCAACGTCAGCCACTGATTCACTGCCTGCAGCACGTGCCTTTCTGCTGTTACTGCTCCTGGAAGCTGTCAGGGCTTGGTGGGCCCTGTGAATATTGTGATTCTCCGGGCACAAATTTGCAGGCACAAACAGAGCCAGGAGACTTACAAATAACATCTAAGGCAGAAAGAGTTGCCATCACCCTTAATTGAAACAGAAGCTTTGTCCTTCCTATGGATGGCATGTTTGACAGATTACTTGATACATGGCTGCCCTAAAATGCCGTCTTTCAGCACAGTGTTGGTGCCAATAGCAAACCACTACATCATTGCGGAGGTCTTTTTTCAATCTTCAGCCTAACGTAATAAAGTTCCTGTTCCTCCTCAAGTAACTGCTTCCCATGTCCTTCCTCGTCCCTGGTTGCCTCAGTCTCTCAGCTCCTGCCTGCTGGGAGAGGGGCCTGTGTTTCACGTCACAACTCAGAGTTCAAGCCAGGCAATGTTTTCCAGGTGAAGTGTCTATTTATCAGAAAATGCATTTTGGGTTAAAAAAAAAAGTAGTTGAGATTCACAAACTGTTGCTCTTTTCCCTCCAGAAAAAAAATGCATGTGGGCAGAGAAAAACTCGTTTCTGGAGGACCCCACAGATGTTCTAATGCCTCTGTCTGCATGCAGCCTCCCACCACAGCACAGCTCTCACACTGCTCACGGCTTCTCCTCTGCCTGTGGACGCGCACACAAATCCCGTCCACACATGGCCAAACTCACCTTGTTATTGACAAAGTCCTTGGACTTGAAAGCATTCAGCTCCAAGAAGTACCTGAGCAGGGAGATGTTCCCATCTTGGACTGTATAATGAAGAACTGTCTTGTTGCTTTTCACATCCTATTTAAAAACAGAAACCCCAAACAAAATAAGAAACATTCTGCAGAACGAGCTGAAGACATTACATAAACCCGTCGGAGAAAAGCCCAGGCCGGCTCTGCAGCTAATGGGGAGCACCTCCTTCCCTTCAGTGGCCCTCTTAACTGTCCAGTGTTTGTTGCAGGCTGCAAGTAAGTAACTCCAAAAGGCAGCAGCTAACTCTGCAACCAGTCCCTTGACGGGGGAACAGGCTTTCTCCTTCTGTCAGTAGTTCATTCCTTCCCCAACAGTTTGAGCACAGCGTAAGCATCAGGCAGTGCAAGGGAGAGATCCCATGCAAACAAACAGCACACGGATAACTGCGCTAGTCCCTCACCCGGCTGTAGATGGAGGCTCCTGTCTGCACCAGGAGGTGGATACAGGACTCCAGCTCTTCGCTCTTGTGCTGAAGATCTTTCTGCTGCTCCTCCATCAATGTCTGGCACCCCTGGTCCCGGAGCAGGGCGTTGTGGGCCAGAACAGCACAGTGGAGTGGGGTATGGCCTGGAAAACCAAGTGAGGGAGGGAGCTAACCACAGCCCCAGCGACTACACTGATGTACAGAGAGGAAGCGAGGGCTGGTGGGGAGAGAATATGCATCTCTGCACGTGCGTTGTTAAGGCACGAGCCCTTCTCTGGTTTCAGAGGTACCATATTGGCTGTATAGACACTTTACGGGGCGCTCCAGCATGCGCTTACTACCAATTGTGCGCTGAATCACCACCGAATCATCAGCACCGTTGAATTCTGTGGCATTTGAGAGCACAGCAACAACTCTCCCCCAGGCAGTTTCTGAGGCCTTTCTGGCCTCCTAGCACACCACCAAATACCAGTGCGTCTCGGTCAATGAAATAGCCAGTACGGTTTTTTCATCTTTTTAATATCACGGTAAAAGAGTCGTACGAAGGGTCTTACCTTCAAAATCCTTCATTTCTAAATCAAGAGGGAAACCTAGTGACAGTATAACCTAGAAGCAACAGAGAAATGGAAAATTTTAGTTCAGCAGAATGCTGTCCAAGCTAAAATGAGTCAAAACTAACAAAATCTAAAAACAAACAAACAATCAATTAGATAATTGTCATTTAACTACAAACTAAGCCCTTCTTTGACACTAGATTTCAGTGCTGTGAATCTGTTTCCTAAGAGGGACATTCAGGGTTACACAAGATAGTCATGTTCCCTAGTTTCCTAAACCTCACCTACGCAGAGCATCCTATTAGATTCTCAGTTCAGAACCACAGGTTAAGTCACTGCCCCCAGCTTAAGAGTGCCAGCCTCCTTTCACCCCGGATTAAGCAAAGGCACCAATGATACCAATTCATATTTATTCTGAGTTACTGCTGGCAAGGATAAATGAAAATCTCTTCTTGACTTGTATAGCCAAACTTTATTACCTAAAATTTTGCTGACACTGGAAATTCTCTGATTGGATTTATTTACTTTTTCGGTTTAATGTGCAGCAGATACGCAGCAGCGTGACAGGTTAAAACCACAGCTTGTTGCAATGGCTGCAGCAATGAGGACGCGGAGCCTATAAACGCCATGAAACAGTGGTCTGGAGATGAGCACTGCTTAGATTTATCAGAGAGTAAAAATTTTAAAACCCTTTAACTTAAGAAAATGATACATTTTATATGATGCAGCCAAGTAGCTCCTTGCCTATATTATGCATTTTTTGCTCTTGATTGAATAAACTAAGTTGTTCACATTACAGCATCTTGCCTAAGAATTTTTGCATTGCAGTGACTTGTCCAGAACCTTGTAAAATTAGATAAGGCGCAGTACAGAATCCTTCTGCTGAAGGATTATCCAGAACGGTTAGGGCTTGTGGTCTCTTTTCAAAACAATAGTATAACATATCCAGATCAAATATTGACAAGTAGCTCTGAGCTGCTTGATGATTAGAGAGTAAATGTTTAACCCATTAGAAAAAAACCAATTAAAATAAACAAACAAACAAACTGTAAAGCATTTCATGGCTTTGACCTCACCAAGAGGCAAGCCTGAGTGCATTTTCCCTTGTTATGTCAAGGGGAAAAAAAGCAATCCCAAAACAAACACAAACCACCACAAGGCACTCTGGGAGGCTTTGTTGGAATCATCTGGATGTAAAACACTCTCCCCACTGAATGAAACACCTGTTTTCCCAAGAATATGCAACGTTATACATTAACTGCCTGCTCATGACTTAACCCAGGGCATGTACAAGGCAGAGCTAACGAATACTGGAAAGGGCCTGCCAGCGTGCCAGGTACCCCCTGACACATCCCTCATCCTCAGGGGATCCTGTGCTCTGCCCTCAGGCAAACTCAGCTCTGCATGAAATGCAGAAATGAAGCGCTGCATTGAAGCTGCCCATACTCGGTCCTGTCATGAATCCAGGAAGGCAGTTTTATTAATTCCATTTCATGGCCAATAGTTAAGCACTTAAGAGACATGTTCCAGTATGCTTATCTCTGCTACGTAATACCTTCCAAAAACTCCCACAGTGCCTTTTCTAATGTGATAATTTGCTCTTCAATACTGCTAGATTCTGGCTAGCACACAACTTAGATGTAGACCCTGTCTACAGAAAGATCTGTGAAGCAATAGAGAAGCGAAGATCTGGTCATATAAGTCATGAGCCTCTAGTGGCTTCTGGCCATACGGGAGTTTCTCTCATGCCCTGGAAAATCTTCCTCGATGGATTGTGGCTTTGCATAAAGCGACAAATGTGTCTCATTTTGAAGTTTGTACCTGCGCTGGCTCTGTCTGCAGGGTCACACCTGCTCTCTGGCTGGCTTGAGTCTGGACTAATTTGTTGCTCCCATCTGGATGATGCTGGCATCAGAGAGGGGGTTCCTCCCTCTCCTCACACCACACAGCTGCCTGCAGCCTCTGGGGAAGCCCCTCCAATGCAGGCATCAGTACAACCATTGGGGCTCGAGCCAGAGCAAGCCCACTCTGCCTGGCCTGCCATCAGCAGATTTAGAACGATGATCTACTGAAAGGATTTATCTTCCCCGAGATACGCTAAAGTAATTTCCTCTGTAACAGGAGGCTGATGTTAGCTGCAAGTATAGTCCTAACCCAGGAATTACCCGGGAAGTCGGTTACTAACACAATGGAAAAGGAGCCTTCGGTCAGTCTTCGTTGCTTACTGACATCTTGCCTTCTGAGACAGGTATTTAAAGCCACCGACACTGAGACTTTATTGTAGGCTTATACTGTTAGCAATTAAAACCATAAAAGCTTTTCCTACCTGAAGAACTTGGGCATACCCGTACGTTGCAGCAAGATGTAAGGCTGACTGCCCTTTGTTGTCTACAGCATTGACATCTGCTCCTGTCTGGATCAAATCATAGACAATAGCTGGCTGCCTGGCAGTGACGGCCACCAGCAGGGGAGTCTGAAAATAGCAGCACAGCAGAAAAAAATGTGAGAGTCTAGAAAGCAAATGCTATCATAAAACAAGGAACAGGGAAAGGCAGTTTGGGCTGAATGGTATCTAGAATCCCAAGGATTGTGGCGCATAAGCCTAAGACAGCTCGCAGGCAGATTTTGAATCCCCCGTATTAGGACCCGTGGCATCATGCGGCGGGGGGAGAGCATTTCCCAGCTCCTGCATTCTTTGGCCCTAATTTGGATGACAACCTAAGTTCAGCATTTTTGAAACACGGTTTATGTCAGGTGCAACACTCGTAGCATAAACCTGTTGTTCATAAAACAATTCCTCAGACTGCCAACATACACATATTTTCCTGGACCAGTGTGGTCTTAGATCACTCTATGAACCATGGTCTGAAAAGAGAAAAAGCTCACTCGCATTCTACCTAATTTCAGGATCCTGCTAGATGCACTTAAGCAAGACACATCGATGCCCAAGTCTTCCTTTGCAGCAACAGAGAGAGAGCGCGCTGGATTTTTCAGGGCACCAGTTGCTCTCAGTCATGCAAAGCCCGTGCCCATCCCAAACACCACTGTTTGCAGGAGAAAGCGGTCAGTATTACCTTTCCTCTGTGTTCCTTGGCATCAAGTCTTCGCAGCAATTTCATGCGCTCTGCAGCTGCCAATGTATACGCCCTCATACCTTTAGCTGCATAAATATGTAGAATTCTAAGACAAGTAAATAAAGACACTGATCACTTCTTCGCCATCAATCACCCTAGGAGCAAACAGTTTTATAGGGCAGCATAGCCACTTTGGGAGTTTTATACCCAGTGTTCCACAAAACCATGCCATAAGCCCCAAAGGGCTTGACCTTGAAAGCACCCACTCCCAGAGACCGGGCTTCCTACCTCAAAATAACTGCAGCTTTCAAGAGCCCTCGGCACTCCTGAGCTTTGACATGCTGTCTCCTTTCCACTTCAGCATTTTCTTTCAGGTGAGATTTGCCCTTGTGCTGGGAGGGATCTAAGTCCTCCCCAAAGCCTAGTGCCGGGGCCCAGCGTACCATATCGTACGCGTGTATCGCTTGCTGGGGTGATATGGCCTCGTACGCGTTGGTGATATCACGCCATCCACAGTTACAAACAGCCTCTTCTAAATGGTGTATTTGTAAACAGCCTGTTAAGCGCTACTTGTTTATCAAAACTACTGGTGAGAGGGACCAAGTCCTTATCTTGTGCATACGACAACGAGCTATCAGATCCCGTAGCAGTTACGGGCTTGCTGGTGACATGGCCTTTAGTGACAGGGAAAACACTCCCCTCCTTCACCGTGGTTGCCTGGCTCTGTGGCTGGAGCTGGAGAGAATATTAGACAGAGCTACACGCCACTTCCATTCCCCCAGGTCCTATTCGCAAGGGTGCTGGGCGTGCACAGGTAGCTTTGCGCTTCCCTTTTGCACAGGAGGAGACCATCCTACAGGCAGCCATACCAGCCCCTGGGTTTGTTCCGCTCCCGACAGCAACATTTGATACTTTTTAGTCAGAAGGTGGTAGGCAGTCCTCTCTTTCCTCAGATAATGTCGTACTCCAGAGCCACACCTTGCAATTCCAGGAAGTAGAAATGCAACTTCATGGCTAGTCTGATTTTCAGTCAGGCTCAGCATTAGCTGTGGCTGCACACCCATGCATCCCCAGGGATGCCAACAGAGGATAATAGTGATTGGACTAACATCTGAACTGCAGGAGTGCTTCTGTGAGTAAGCACTTCTTGAGTAAACAGTGCCTCCAGGCCATTTTTGGATCATGGAATTCCACCTTAGTCTGCCTTAACGTGCAAATTTAGCAGAAAGTCTAACAGCTGATCTGTGGCTCTAGCCTGTACGTACATTATTGAACTAATTGATTGCTAAACCAATGCTGGGTTACCCTTCTGGATAGGAAATAAAACACTCTAGGCATAGTAAAGTTACTGTAGATCTTTATTGAAAAAGATTTTGTCTTTTTCTAACCAGAACAACCCAGAAAGAAATTCTGAAACAGTTCATCATTGTTTTATATCCACACACAGAATTTACATACATTGGAGTAAAAGAAATTTAAAAGCAGCCTTAGCAACCACAGGCTTGATTCACAACTGCATTATCCCAGTTTTACCTACTGAATGTCTCTGTACTTACAAAACTGGAGTAAGCAGTGGTGAACTAAGCACCTTCTAATTAATTTCTTTGCTGGGTTTTTCTGCAAATGTAAGCCACTAATTTCAATGCACCTGAGCTACTGCTATTTTCAAACAACTTACATAATCTATTGCTGATGTCTTCCAGATTTGTCAATATTAAATAACAAAATATACTTTGAAAGTCCTGAAGACTTTTGACGTGAGCTTGCAAACCTCATTCAGGCATAAACTGTAAGGTCACTTGAAATATTGCCTGGGTGGCAACTAGAGCGCTGGACACCAGGTAATGAACAGTGCAATAAATTATTTTGCAAATTAGTCTTGCAAATAATAAAATCATTTAAGGATCCTGGGCTTTAGAAAGCAGAAAAACCCAGAGAAATTGTGTTCACCAGCCAAGAGTCCCTTGTTTATTAAGAAAACAACAAACAGAATTAGAAGGGGATGTATCTTCTGCAAATGTATTTGTCTGTGGCATGGCAATCCTGAAGAACAACAATAATATTTACAGTTGCGCCAGAGGAAAAAGTAAAGCTACTCATTCTCCAAGCAAAAAAATCAGAAAGCTATAAAGAAAATGTGTGCACCTGTGGGCCTGGGAGGCTACAGCACAGAGAAACTTTCCATAGCAGTAAGGCACAAGAGAGGTCACTAAGGTTCCCTGGCTCAGCACATCACCGACTTCACATTCAAGTGCTACAGAACAAACAAAAGTATTGCTAGCTAACAGTAACACCATGAATTGCTTGTTAGACTGAAGTCCAGATTTTGGAACACCCTGTCTTCTCAGTGATCTCCTGATACGGAGCCAAGTCTTGCAATCCTGACTCAGGCAAAACTCCCAGTGACTTCAGTGGGACCAGGATCTGTCCATTGGTAGAACACGCAGGATTACCAGCCAGCCACTAAATCAGCCCCCCATCTCGAAGGTGGATATTTTAGAGTCCAAAAACATTCTGCAGCTGAAAGACTGTGACTCCAAACCACTGTCCCACACCTACATGGCTATCTTCCAGCGGCAGACAGAGTGAGACCTTCAAGTTACACCTTTGTGTGAACTCAAACATTTCATCTAGGCCATTTTGTGTTGCTCTGTAAATAGGGATGTCTAACTGCACTGGCGTCTAGTTCAGCTGTATTGATTTTTTTGTCTTCAGACTAATGCACCTACCTGCGCCAGCAGAACAAAAGTACGCTTTACATTTTCCTATTTTCCAAAGGGGTCGTTCAATTTGGGAAAGAAAAAAAGACAATTTAGGCCCCAAAAATGTTTTCTAATGGCCTAGATCAGGCTCCGTGGACAGGACAAAGACACACACACACAAGGCATTGACATTGAACTCTGGAAAACAGTCCTATTGAACTAGGTCTTGCCAATGTTTAGAGGGAAGTGTACCCTTACCAAATGCTACAGCTGGCCACGGCTACACTATAGTACCTGAATTTGAGACCATGCCCCGTGTCTGAGGAAAGTCACCTCGTGCTGCTGCTGAGCACAAGAACTATGCGGTATCAAAAGCCTGCCTGGGAGCGGCAGCAGGAACCGTAACAGCAGAGAAGTCTTGTGCTGGGCCCCAGAACAAAGCAAGTTTCACACAACACGTAAGTCATGGTGTGCTAGAGGTGGACACCAAAATCACAAGTAAAGTCCTCACCCCGCCCCCCAGCCTGCTTTTCCTCTGTACTCAAAACTCATTGTGGTGCCAAGTGGAGTATTGAGTAGGTGAGAATCAGGCCCCAGATGTGCAATTTAAAGCCCTTCAACAGAGAGAGCATGGTTTAAAACATACGTATCATTGTCTTCATCTTCTAGAAGAAGCTTCTCAATGGGCAGCGTGCCGATGACTCGTCTGGCATCCTCCAGCTCCTGTGGGGCTGGTTCAGGGATGGAGATCGGCAGGGGCACAAACTGCGGCCCGGGAAGCGTGGAAGAAGCTGGCTGGTACTGCAAAGTGGAGGCTGGCAGTGCAGAGAGGGGCTGTGCCCATGGGAAGTATGTGAGTGGTGGCTGCTGGTCTGTCACCTCGAGCTGAGGCACTACGGCGGGGGTGGTGCTTCGGGGCTGTTAGAAGGGAAATAAAACAAAATAAAACAATTGGCCAGGTGGGGTGGGGGAAGGACACAAAACAACAGACTAAGGATGCTCAGTCTCACTTTTAACATCCCTTTTCCTGTCTCTCTGGGTAAAGCGTTATACTGAGCGTGATACTTTTCCCACGCTGGCTCCCATGAGAGTGGTGGCTGTGGGTGTCCCAGGTGCTTGCTGACATGAGTGCGAGCTACTGGCAAGTTCCCTCCAGCTTTCTGTTCCCACTCCCACCCTCACTGTAAGCCCATGAGACAGTTACACCCTGTGCTGAAAACTGCGCTCTTTGACAGGCTCTCTTGCAAGGGAAATGCAAGAACTTTGCTGCCGCAAGGCTGAAGGCAGCTGATTCTGGCCTCTGCGACAGTCCGTCCTGAGCAGCCCGTCAGCCAATGCAGAGCCACGTTTGAAATAATCGCCCTTCCTCGCCAGCGAAGGCCGCAGGACGCAGGCAGGGGCCTTTGCTGATTTGGGGCGTCACTTTCAGCAGCTGAACTGCAATATTAAGAGGAAAATAAGCTCCTGGAGTTCAACTGAAACAGAATTCTCTGCCTTTCTCCTCTAAGGAAGAGCAAAGCATCTTGGGTCAGCCAAACAGATTTTGTCCAGCTTGAAACCAAGTGTTCTACGTTTACATGTATTTTGGCCTTGCTCTTTCATCTTTCATCGACTACAAATTTTTGTCCTGCTCAAACCACACTAACGTCCAGCACAGTGCAGGCAGGGCCAGTGCTAGAACAACTATGTGTCATAGCTGCAGAAACACGCAACATTATAGTAAGTAAATTATCCTAATTACGTCCAGCACTCTCCATGGCTCTGGCTGGAAGGTGGGGAAATTGCTGTCATTCACACTTGGGTATTTTTGACTTACTGCAAAATTGGTGATCAGTGGTTGAGAAGTATAAGTCAGAACAGATGAAGGTCCAACCAGTGTGTAACTGGGACACATCGGCTGAACATACATATCTGCTGTGTACGGACAGCTGACCCCTTCGTGGGACACATAATCAGGGTAAGTGGTCCACTGAGTTAAAGGCTGTAAGGATGTGGGAGAGGGCTGGGAGATCCAGCCAGAACAGAGTGCTCCTTCATCTGTGACAGGCAATGAAGAGGCAGCAACGTCCATATCAATGCAAGGCTGGCCTAAAAAACAGGAGAGGATTAAAGCCCAGTTCAGCATAGCCTTCCCTGCAGCAGGGCTGACAAACACTTAGAAAGTCAGGGAAACATTACCCATTGGTGAATAGGAAGGAAGAGGCTGATGGGGCAAAACGACCTAGAGGAGAGAAGAAAAACATCCAGAGATTAAGACCATGAGCATTAAATCCAATCCCCTCTGAGAAGCACTGAGGGACAGACCATATTGGCTATTATCAACTGATTATCAGCTACTACTTCAATGTCCGTGCCTGAACGTTCCCACCTGCCTCTACAGAAGGGCTGCAAGAACCGAGCCTGTTCAGCCAGTACGGATAATCCCAGCCCTGTTCACGGGCCTAGCCAAAGTCCACAAGCCCCTTCAGTTCAAGGGGGCCTTAAACAGTATTTAAACCTTGTGTTGCAGAGGGAATTCCTCTTCA